AAAGGCAGAAGGTTTAAACTGAGTTTGGGGCAAAAGTGGGTGATGAACAGATGAAATTAAACTTTTTAAAGTTTAATTTTTAAAGTTTAATTTCAGTGTGTTTCTCCAGGACCCATCAGCTCCAACTCGAGTAGTTGTTTCAATGTAGTTGTGGAGGGCGCACAACCTCAGTGGCCCATGTGGGGATCGAACTGGCAACCCTGGTGCTATGAGCACTGTGCCCTGCACTCTAACCACCTGAGCTAATGGGCCATCCCTGAAATTAAACTTTTAAGAAAACTAAGAAATGGCCTAGTTAAGAGGGTTCACTTAGGGAAAAGTCAAGTTACTGATTATTATGGTGATATGTTTTGGTTAATACTTTCAGAAGACTGCCTCATCTATCAAATCTTTGGGGGGGAAACAAGTTAACTGCATTCTTTAATATCAGTAGGTTCTGTTGGACAAACGATGAAAACCCCTGAGAAGGCGAATGGAACACCAGATCTTCCACTTCATCTTTTATGTATTAGTGACTAAAGCACTTTTCTTATCTCCAATATTAAATGCTTGAAAAATAGTGAAAGTGGAATAAAAAGGAGTTAAATTTATTATCCTCCATTTTTCAAGGAAGAAGTAAAATTTACTTCCTTCAGAGGGCTCACTTCAGGGGTTACAAGCTCACATGCCATCAGGCAACTGGTCATACATCACCCCAAAAGAAACCTTGTACCTATTAACACTCATTTTCTATTTCCCTCCCCCCAGACTCTGACAGCCATTAACCATTCTGTCTCTATGGATTTGTCTATTCTGGATATTTCTTATAAATGGAATCATACAATATGTGGCTTTTTGTGTCTGGCTATTTTTACTTCGCATACTTTTCAAGGTTCAAACATGTTGTAGCATGTATCAGTCCTTTATTTTTATAGCTGTGTAATATTCCATTGTATGGATAGACCACCTCGTTTATCCATTCAACTGACAGACATTGGTTTGTTTCCTGTTTTGGGCTATTATGAATAATGCTGCCATGAAAATTCGTGTACAATGACCTCTGAATTTCAAAAATTTTAGTATATATCTTTTCCACCTGTCCCCACATGCTCAATTATCAGTGATTTCTACATCAAGACCAAAATTATGACTATAGAATATACAACTTTAACGTAGACCATGAAGACATTGACATGGTTAAAGATTTTGCTTACCTTGGTTCAGTCATCAATGAGAATGGAGATTGCAGCCAAGAAATCAAGAGAGGGCTGAGACTCAGAAGGGCAGATATGGAATTAGGAAAGATCAAGAACAAAGATGTGTCATTAGAAACCAAGGTCAAGATCATCCACACCCTCATATTCCTAATTACTATGAATGGATACTCAAGATAGACAGTGAAGGCTGATAGGGAAAAAACTGATTCCTTCGAAATATGGTGTTGGAGAGCTCTACAGATACCCCAAACCACCAGAAAGATGAACAGATGGGTCTTAAAGCAAATTAAGCCTGAAACTTCTCTGGAGGCAAAAATGAAAAAAACTGAAGCTGTTCAACTTAGGGCACAACATGAGAAGGTAGGATTCTTTGGAAAAGACAATAATGCTGGGAAAAATAGAAGGTAGCAGGAAAGAGTGAGTCCAAATATGAGATGGACTGACTCCACAAAAGAAGCCATCGGCATGAGTCTACAGGAGCTGAGCAGGGCTGTTGAGGACAGGACACTGTGGACATCACTCATTCATAGGGTCGCCAGGAGTCGGAGCTGACTCATTGGCATGTAACACATAAGTCAACACTATTAACATCTTTTTTTCTTTTTAAGATTTTTATTGGTGAATTGGGGAAAGGGAACAGTGTTGGGGAAGGGGAACAGCCAAGTTGTTGTCCAATTTTAGTTGTGGAGGGTGCAGCTAGCTCAACTCCAAGTCCAGTCGGCAGCTCGCGGCCACTCAGCTCAAGGAGCCCTGTTCAATCTTAGTTGTGGATGGGCACAGCCCATCATCCCATGTGGGAGCTGAACCTGAAACCTTGTTACTAAGACCTCACTCTCTAACCACTGAACCATCCCACCGCCCGATGGCGGCTCAGCTCAATGTGCTGTGTTCATTCTTAGTTGTGGAAAGGCGTAGCCCACCATCCCATGCAGGAGTCGAACTGGCAACCTTGTTAGGAGCACGTGCTCTCACCAGTTGAGTCATCCTGCCCTGTTGGCAGGTAAACTCGGGCACAGCTCACTGGCCCATGTGGGAGTTGAACCGGCGACCCTGTTACTAAGAGCTCGCGCTCTTAACCAACTGGGCCACTCGGCCGGTCCAACACTATTAACATGTTACATGTCTTTCCAGCATAGGCAAACATCCTAGCTCTTTTAAACAGAAAGGCAGCACACTTATGCACTGCTCTACACCTTGCATTTTCACTTATCCTGGATGTTTCCGTTTCTAGTGTCCTCATTCTTTTCTACAGCTACACATTTCCTATTGTGTAGCTGTACCAGTTTATTTAACCAGTTTTTCTTTGATGGATGTTTTGGCGGTAATTGAAATGATTTGATATTTACAAAATCTTGTAAATTAGCCATACAATAACAAGCAACTGAGATAAATATCAGGTTTACTAATGAGGAATAAAAGCTACTTAATCTTAATACTAAACAGGAAAAATTTTTAAATGTCTGAAGCTGTTTTTTAAAATATTGTCATCCTCACGATTATGCTCAGGTAGAACTAGTTCTCTGAAATAGAATGAAAACTGGCAAATAAAGATACCGGTCTAGTGGAACAACTTGTTTTTAACCTATCTTCTGCTTCTCAGAATATTTATCTTTATAGTCCTCAAATTTAATTTAATGGGTCATTTTCACTCAATTTGATGACAGGAAAGTCGCAGGAAATACTTGAGAAAGTTTTGTCTCCAGTATCTAGCACATCTTATGTTTCATCAGAGACCAGATCTGTATCTATAAAGTACAGACCAAGTAGCAATCAAGTTGGTTTAAAGTCATTCACTCTTCTAATTGTCTATTATGTGACCTTATGAAACTTGTTAGATTGCAATAACAGATCCAGTAAACTTCATTATTTAAATATTAGTTAAAACAAACTATTAAAAGTTAAAAAATAACTTTTGGAATTCTTGTACACTGTTGACGGGAATGTAAATTGGTGCAGCCACTATGGAAAGCAGTAGGGAGGATAAAACTACCATATCATCCAGCAATTCCATTTCTGGGTATATCCAAAATAATTGAAATCAGGATCTAAGATATATCTACACTCCCCTTTCATTGCAGCATTATTCACAACAGCCTAATATGGAAACAACCTAAATATCCATTGACAGATGGATACACAAAATGTGATATATACATATAATGAAATATTATTCAGCCTTAAATAAGGGCCAGCCGAGTGGCTCAGTTGGTTAAGACCTCGCTCAGGAGTGCGAGCTCTGAGCAACAGGGTCGCCGGTTCAATTCCCGGCCCAATCTGAGCTGCTGCTGAGTTGTCAACAGGTGACAGGGTGGCTCAGCTAAAAAAAAAAAAGGAAATCCTATCATTTGTGACATTGATGAACCTGGACTACGTTATGCCAAGTCAAATAAGCCCACACAGAAAGACAAAGACAAATACTGTATGATCTACTAGTGTGTGGAATCTAAAATAGTCAAACTCATAGAAACAGTAGATTGGTAGTTACCAGGGGTTGAGGGGAAGGGGAAAATAGGTCGTTGTTCAAGGTATAAAGTTATACAAAATGAACAAACCCTACAGATCTGTACAATAGTGTCCATAGTTAACAATTTGGTGTTGTGCACTTAAAAATTTAAAGGGTAGGGCCAGACGAGTGGCGCGTTGGTTAAAAGTTGGCTTGGGACGCCAGCTCTGAGCAGCAGGGCCCCGGTTTGAATCCCACGAGGGTCAGTGAAGTTGCGCCCTCTACAGCTAAGATGGTGAACAACAGCTCCACGGAGCTGGGCTGCCGTGAGTTACCTTGAGTGGCTGGCAGCCAGCATGAGCTGCTGTCCGATGGCTGGTGAGGGACTGCCTCGCCCAGGAAGAGCGCAATGATACCAACATGGGCCAGTAAAGCGATGTCCTCTACAACTAGACTGCAGAACAAAAGGACAGCAACTTGTCTGTTTCCCTCCCCCAATTCCCCAATAAAGTCTTTTTTAAAAAAACAAACAATTTTAAGAGCGTAAATCTTGTTGAACATTCTTACCATACACCCACAAGAGAAAAAAAAAAAGAGCAAAGGGACACAAGGAAACTTTTGGAGGTGGATGGATGTTTATTACCTTGATTGTGGTGATGGTATTATGGGTGTGTGCATATGTCCCAACACATCAAATTGCATATAGCAATTTTCCATATATCAATTATACCTCAATAAAACTGTAAAAAATAACCTTTGTACTTCTATTTACTATTAGGTAGATAGATGCTATGAGGTAATTGTCCCTGTTGTTGGTTTCTGTGCTATGACATCTTTCATTTGGTGGTTTCTCCTAAATCATTCTCATTCTTCATTCCCATATGATATAAACCAAAGAATTGAGCTTTGGGCACTTCAAAAGAAACATACTAAAAAATTCTAAGATACCATTATGGAAGCAAAGATGCATTACTTATTTTACTGATTAGCTGGAAACAAAAGATTGAGGTGTTGACTACTGAGTTGAGAGAACAATGGTCTACTTGACTCCATTGACGAACCCAGGTGGAGAAAAACAGAGGCATAGTATGAAACCAGTACAAGGTCATGGTTAGGCATGCGAGACCTTATTGATAATGGTGACCTTTCCAGGATATTTTCTGGATGCTGAGATGGGACAGTGTAGTTCTCTCTAATAGAATGATTAAGGTGCACAACATTCTAGAAACTACTTCCTTGGCTGTTGATTAATTCTTCAGAATGTGCCTGATCAAGTGCTAACAGCTGAGTTTCACGTTTCCTGAAACATCTTTCTTAATTTAACTTTGATATAGTTCTAGTCTGTAAATGAGAAATGCAAGTAAGAATGAGGGGTCAATTTATTTATCATGAAATATCAGTGTGTACAATTTCAAACATTTATAAATATTGCAATTTCCAGAAAAATCAATGTAATCTTAAAATTATTTGAACAGTGATTTTCACAATTATTTACAATGAACTCAACCTACCTTTGTAGAAACATAATTATGTTTAAAAATACCCTGCCACAAAGTAGTAATTTCACAGTACCTTTCTATAATATTTATGTCACTAAAGTGGCAGCTGCATCAATAAAACCCAGCAGATTCAACGATTTAGAAACAGCACAATGAGAACCGCAAATGCTAGTTACCAGTAATTCCAAACAAAACTTTTTATATTAACATATAAATATTTTTCCATTTTAATCAGATTGAAGAAAATAATTAGGAGGCAGTATTTTCTTATTTGTAGTAAACAGAAATTAATCTTAAGATACTTTTAAAATCGACATTAAGAAGCTAGATTAGGTTTTATAACATGTAACACTAAATATTTTGAGAAATTCTTGATTTCACTGGAAGCCATTTCTACTGTAGTAAACCTTTTTTAAGTTGTAATGACAGTAAGCAGAGGTAATTCTCTGTCATCCCAAATAGAAATTATAATTGCTTATTAGCAACTAATAACATATTTGGATGGAAAGAGATTCTTGGCTTTATTGCTAAGGGTTTCCTTTTTTCCAACTTAACATTTTAACCTTTTTTCATACCCCCTTAAAAAGATCCCAAATATGTTTAAATTATGTCAAAGGAAACTAACTTTATATGGATCAGTACTTGCATTTGAAAACAATTATTTACTGTAGTATTACACAGTCTTTTGTTGTTTTTTTTAGCATATATCCAGCTAAAACAAATAAAAATGTAAGGTATAAGAAATATAGTTGAAGTCACAATAAAGTATATTTTCTTTTATTGACATAGAACATATACGTTAAATTTTAAATGTTGGCTCTTTAAGAAAGTTTCTCCTGGTAAATAATATGCTTAACCGTTGCCCAAAAATGTATATAGCTGTTTTCCCCAAAATATTTTATACACATAAAGGTCCACTTAAGACCAGCCCCATAATAACCTAGTGAATACAATGTGCTCTTAATTTATAAATGGGCTACCCTCAGTATATAAAATATATAGGCATGTATGTAATACATACAAAGTAAGAAATATAAAAAAGAGATGCAAAGGCAAAAAAAAAGTGTTTTTCCCTGTAAGATCCAGACAGAAATTCAGTGTGATTAGTGAGACCATGTAAAATGAACTCTTAATTTATAAATGGGTTACCCTCAGCATATAAAATATATAGGCATTTATGTTGTACATATAAAGTAAAAAATATAAAAAGGAGAGATGAAAAAAAGGGGAAAAGTGTCCTTCCTTTTAAGATCCAGACAGCAATTCAGTGCAATTAGTAAGACCATGTAAAATGTCTGAAGAATCTCAGTTTTGGCAAATACTTTTCAGAAAAATAGCTAAGCTATGAGAGTACTAAATTTCCACTTTAAGAATTTAGTAGAGGTTTCCATTTAAACATTTGGTCAAGATGCTGTGGTCTCTCTAATAGGCAGAAAAAAGGACTTTAGAAGGGTTCTGCTAAAAGGAAACACAAAGTCGCTCATTTTTAGCTGGTTAGTAATAACCCCTTAATCGAGTGTGTATAGCACAGAGAATCAAATCATGGCCCATCAGCATTTGACTATGTTTAAGGAATGATGCCAGTGGACAGGATCTGAATTCTTCCTAGATCTTAGAGGGAATGGGGCAGGAAGTGATGGCAAAGGACGGGTCAACTCCAAAGGTGGCTGGTCCAATCTTAACGGCTGATTTTTTAAAAAACACACCAAATGTTTCTATAGCATTCGTTCTGCTGCGTTTTCTTTATTTCAAGCCACAGGTCTACTTGGAGGGTCATGCAGCAAGTGGCTTATAAATAAAATCAGTCTATGAATAGTGTCATCACATTAAGAGACAGAATCGCTGGATTCTCTCATTAGGTAAAGAGCTCGCATTGTTGGACTCCATGAGTTGGTATTATTTATGGGATACCTAAAATGGGGGACAAAAACCATAAATATCAATAACAACATACATGCAAATCAGGAGTTAAATCAATGAAGACTATTTAATCATTTATAAAGTTAGAAATTCCATATGGTTTCTAAATATTCCTTCACGGTTTAAAATGCAACAAATATAATGGCCAATTCCCAAATTAGCAAATATTAACTCTATTGTTAATTGCTTACCAAGGCAAACAATTCCCACTGTTCTCAGCTCTCAGCATATGTTACCAAGAGAGAACCTAAAGATGGTAACCATATCCATTTTGGAAGCCTAGGAATTTGGACACTTAATATATCTGTTAGCTTAGAGATACGCCACATGTCTCAATTTTTATAGAATTAGATTTTTTTTTTAGGTGAGCCATCCTGCCACCTGTTGGCAGCTCAGCAGCAGCTCAGCTGGGACCCATGTGGGAATCGAATCGGCAATCCTGTTGCTCAGAGCTCGCACTCTTGAGTGAGCTCTTAACCAACTGAGCCACTCGGCTGGCCCTAAATTTTTATAGAGACCAGGCCTTTTCATCCTGTTATGGACTCAAAGGGGAAATAGAAGGGAAAAAATTCAATGAAATCATTTGGCTGCAATTTTTTTTTCTTTTCTTTTCCAGATCATCATTATGCAGCTAAAACAAACAACCAACCAACCTCAGGATACTGAAAAGAATAATAGAACTTTCCCCCAAACAGTATATAAGTTTGTTTACAAATTTAAATTACAGTTCTTCTAGGGAATATTTGACTCTTCCACCAAGAAAACAGACATCTGGGGGTGACCGGTTAGCTCAGTTGGTTAGAGCGTGGTGCTGATAACACCAAGGTTGCCAGTTCGATCCCCCACATGGGCCACTGTGAGCTTAACCCTCCTTAAAAGAGTGAACTATGCCATTGTAGCATGAAAGCAATGTGTAACCAATGACCATGGCTGTTCCCCAATGAAAATAAGATAAATAAAAAACCAGAAAATAGACATCTGCTAATTCACTATAGATTTGTATATACAGATGCCCTTTGTAAGGTGTAATGCAGTAATACCGACATAAGGTATTAATATGGAAGCAGAAGTTTTGGAAAAATTTACCCTAAATATGAAGAATACAGAAAAAGGTCATCTTATTTTAAATTCACATGCAAGCAACTCATATTTTATCATTAATTAAAAGGTAATCTAATGTTCTGGTGATGCAAATAATTTTCATTCTAGATTTATATACAGCACTAAACAGATGATGGCAAGCTGAATTAAGGCTTGTCAGATTTCTACAAGTGTTTCCCCATATCAATACATTTTAAATTTTAAACCCAGGTTATCATCTAATTAATTGAGAAATAATTTAATTCTTTCCCTAATTATGAAGATCTAAATGTTTCACTTTCTTGGCAACATATGAAACAAATTATTTCCATTTAAGCCATTAATTTGAAAAATTGAGCTATTATCAGGAACAGCTTCCAAAAATGATTATTATATTTAAATTTAAAAAAAGGTTATGCAATGTATTTCATCACGTGCTTAGCAATTTTACTTTTATAAGAATATTCAGAAGTTAATGTTTAAGAATAATAATTCAGTTTTAATTCAACCCCAATTTCTTTAAGCAGTAATTTTTAAAACATCAGTTCACAAAATGTATTCTTTTAAAACTAAAACAAATATGACTAAATTTTCTCCAGTTTTAGAGTTTTACAGAAACTCTGCTAACGTACTCAAGCCAAAAATCTTATAGAATTGAAATCTTAAGATTGTGCAGCAAATTTTTATAAGTATGAAAAACATTGTATGTACATTTGAAAGCCAATTTAATTAATGTCAAAATTAAACTTTAACTTTCATCTGTCACTCTGAAAGTCTTTTCATTTAGCATTAACAGTAGTACTTCTACTTTTGCTCACTGCTGTAGTTGACAGCAAAATGTAGTACCTCAAAGAAAACATCATCTATTAAAAATAAAAGAGGTTAAGCAGACTCACAGTCCTTAATTCTGACAAAAGATTAATTCGTCTAACTAAGACCTTTAATGGATTTTCCAGGTTCCTAAGCATAGGAAGAATGAAAAACACTGAAAACTTTTTGCTGAGTTATACACAAATACATTAACGCTAACTAATAAAATTGTCTAATTTAAAGAGTAACTGACCTGAGATGTACCTTGCTCCGATTAACATTACCATGCTACTCACTATAAAAAAGCCCAAGGGTAGACTACAGAAGATACTAGGATCACCTGTGGCCATCCAAGCAGAAGTGAATTCCAGTCAAGCAAACCAAAAGAGAGACACATAATTACAATATTTGTGTTAAGAATCACATGATAGCAAAACAAAATAAAGTTATAAAAATAGTATATTCATAAAAGCTAGCAAAGAGTTATTACTTCAAATCAAAAATATAATCAATATTGAAGGCTTATGACAATTAACAAAACAATACAGATAGTATGCCACAAGTAGCCAAGAACATAATGCATATAGACCATAAGGCTTCCACTGGCCAAGCCAGAGGAAGCCAGTGGAGAACGTTTTTGGGAGGCTATGGATTTTGACCTTTCTTGATTCTTCCCCAAAAGATACTAAATAAGCAATCCAATTATCCCAACATTCCAATTATAGATCCTTTGGCAATCAGAGAAGAGTTATATTAGTCTACTGAAAAATTTCAAACCAAATTGGTTTCGTTTTTTTTTAAATAGAATTTGGTGTATAAAGAAATGCACCTATTAATATTGCTCCAATTTGAAAACTAAATTATACTAATCTACATTCTAAAATATTGCCTGAAAACATGATTGTTTTGATGTTTTCTAACCTGAGTCTCAGAACAAAAGGTTGAAAGAAAAAGGATATTAAGCTTATTTAGGAGAAAAAAACAAAAGCTTCAAGTTAAAACATCCAGGACTGAAAATATAGACCACAGTGATCTGTAGGGGATGTTTCCAGAAGCTTCTCCTAAAAGCCAGATACATTAAAAGTGCTTCTATACTCACTTTGGGGTTGGAAGGCATGTTTTATATTTTATTCATAAACTTTTCTTCCTTAAAATATATGCTTCATTATATTATTGGCTATTGCTCCATTCATGATGTTCCAAATCTTGAATTTAGCAAAGAATTAATATATTGTACCATATTAAACATGTTTAAGGCTATTGAAATGAAAGGCATATTACAGGTAGCTTAAGGCTGTTTACAGGTGAATGGTCAACTTATGCTGAATACCTTTCTACCTAAATGACTGAAAAATAAGGTCCTGTTTTCTGCCAAGAGCATTTCCTAGTCTATTCTGACACTTCTAATTTACTAAGTTTGGTGCATTTCTTGCTCTCTGACGCCAATGAATTCTCATAACATATACTCGCTAAGAACTTGGAATCAGCCTAGGCAGTAGCAAAATAAATTCTGAAATTAATATAAATTTTTGTTGGTTCAGGTCATGAAGACAACCCCCCAAAAAGGTAAAGGCATTAAGAGGAAAAAAAAAACCAGACTGTAGTTGATTTTTTTTTTCATTAAGAAGAAACTAGAAATAAATTTACTTTTAGAAAACTAAGCTACAAATCAAAGTACTAGGAATAAACTAGTAAGAAAAAAGATATATGGCAGGATGTATGTATATCAACCTGATCATTTACATTTTATGTTTAGAACTTTATAAAGTGCTTTCAAAATGTTAGAAACTGGATATCTGATTATGCTCTTCTTCAGGGCAGCCTTGCTACGTATAAATGGTCAGATACTTAAATAAGCTATGAAACATACTAGGACAAAGTGGCAATAATAATAAAAACATTGTTACCACTTTCCGAAGACTGAGTTGTAACCCAACCCATTGACTTCATCACAGCTTTCTTCCAGGTAGAAAAACGAATTTCACTTTCTAGAAACAGAAGATAGGAAAAACACACAAATGAAAGGTAGTTTACTGATATGTTCTAAGCCCCATACTTATGTTCACTCAGCATTCTTGACAAATTGTTACATGTGTTAAACTCAGTGGGGCTTTACCAGGACTCAGATTTGGGCGAGTACAGTTGCTAGTGATGGCCAGTAATCGGGAGAGACTTGATTTCTCTTTTTCTTGGGGTAGGGGGGTGGAGCTAGGGATACAGGGAGGGGTATGCTATAATGTGAAAAGACGAGAATGAGAATTATTTTCGGTCTAGCCAAAGGATTTAATGAGTATGGATTTCTCACAAGAATCAAATTGCATTCCTGTCAGACAGGATTCCTTTAAGGAGGAAATCCACAATAAGAGGACTAAACAAAAATAGGCGCTGATGTGTCCACACACACTGCACTCCTTCTAACAATGGGGAACGTTCATGAAGCTACCCTTCTTTCAAGTCTCCCTGCCTTTCTACAGCACCCAAAGGCTGCAACTCCCGCGAGACACTGCTCTAGTATCAAAAAGCATTCCAGTGCCCCACTTCTGGGCCTCCTCCAACTTCTCAGAGTATTTCACACACACCTCAGAATATCAGCTACCACAGTGAATTTTCATAGTTTTGTCTACATCTCCTAATATACTTGAGTCTGCTGAAGATCAAGGACTTGCTTGGTCTTATTCATCTCTATATTCCCACTAAGGACAGTTTCTGGCCTGTAGTTGGCTCTAAACAAATGTTTGCTGGGAGAATGAACTATCTAGATCTAGGTGCCCATTCATATGTGTGCATGTGCGTGTTGTCGGGAGAGGAGAGGGGCTGGTGAAGGAAAGGACGACTTAACTGATCAACTCCAGGCTAAGGCCTCAAAAACTACAAAGATGGCTGTCCTCAGAAAACATTAATCCTTAACTCCTTGCACAAAACGTCCTAGATTTAAGAGCGGGTTTAGTGGGGATGAGGGACAACGGCAAGGGATTATAAAGCATAAATTGGTAACTACAATATTGCCAACAGGATATGAAAGACAGTTTGGAGAATATAATCAATAGTGCTGTAAATATTTTGTAGGGTGTCAGATGGGCATATCTTGTTAGGGAGACCACTTCATGGATGGTGTAGAGGCTTGACCACTGCACTGTACACCTGAAGATGAATAATATTGTATGTCAACTGTAATTTTATTTATATCTATATATATATATGTGTGTGTGTGTGTGTGTGTGTATACACACACACATAGATAGATAGATAGATATTGTCGGGATATAGAGTATAGTACAGGGAATAGATTCAATGGTATTATAACAGCTATATACAATGTCAGAGGGGCAAAAGATTGGGAGAGGGGGGTTATCACTTTGTGAGGGGTGAAATGTATAACTATTACATTGTTTTGTACACCTGAAACTAATTATATATATGTATATTTATATATGTATATATGTATATTTATATATATATGTATATTTATATATGTGTATGTATATATAGATATATATATTTCAACAAAATCTATTTTTAAAATAGCGGGATTAGCATCTCAAGATCATATACTTGCTCTGAACATTATTTGCTTATTAGAAAGTTGATGTTTTTCAGTAGAAAAAATTTTTGAACTTCATATTTTATCCAATATTGCAAAAGTGAAAAATTAATTAGAATATCAGATTTTAGAATACACTTCCATATCAGGGTACATGGCATACTGTCTGACTATGAAATTATTAGTATTATATTCCATTTTCTTATATATATAAAAAAAATAAAATTAAGAAGCAATGGCGGGCCGGCCGAGTGGCGCGTTGGTTAAGAGCTGGCTTGGGACGCCAGAGGGCAC